CCCGGCTGCCCAGCACCTCCCACGCCACTCCCCCACCGGCAGACCGGACCTCGCATCTCTCCAGTTCTTCTTCCCTCCCAGCTTTGAAAAAGAAAACAAACAAAATAAAATCAATCCACTTAAATAGGAGTGGCTACTGAAGATTAGAGTTCCCCAAGACGTTGATATTTTAAAGGAAGTGATTGCTAAATCCAAATAAAACTAATACGTAAAATAAATAGAGAAGACTTTCCAAGCCAGGAGGCAGTGCATTCCTAGTGTCCTTCGTCCCCTCTGGGCTCACAGCACCCCAGTTGGTAGCCACATGCAAGGAGAAACTTGGGCCGCTGCCGGGCCCCCTTCTTTTAAAAGCCTGCCAGGCTCTGGCCTCAGTAACGTTCTGAGCTCATCCAGCTGGGTTTGTGTCTGTAACCTGTTGAAACAGTGACTTGTTCAGTGGCGGTGACAGGAGGCAGGGACCAGGATTTGCAGAGCAATTATTCTTATTTTATCATAAGACTTGCATGTACTCTACCTCATACTCTCCTAATTTATACAACACTCCTATTCCAACTATGAGATTGTAAGCTCCTTAGAAGCAAATTCTCTGACTTAGACCTTCTCCACAGAGTGCTGAATTTAGACCCAGATTGGGTGAGGATTACTTTAGGGTTACACGGCTAGTTAATGGCAGGAGCAGAAAGAGAACTCCGATTTCCTCATGCCGTATAGCAGGCTAGTGTTCTGTCCATTCTTCCACTGTTTCAGTGATCTGCTGCTGTGTAACACACCACTCCAAAACTCCACTCCTTAACACAGCAACACTGCTATTTCTCCTAGGCTTCTGGGTAAGGCATTTAGTTGGGCTGTTGACTGAGCCACTCACTTAGCTGGTTGCAGATGGATTGGGCTGAAACGTCCTGGAAGATGTCATTTGCATGTCTAGAACCTCAGTACTTTTCCCATGGTCTCCTTCTCTCCATATTTTCTCTCCTCTCTTTCCGTGTTCTAGCCTGAACTTCTTTACAGCTTGGTAGCTGTCTTCCTCTAGTGAAAGCAGAAGTAAGCAGAAGTTGACAGGCGTCTAACACTAGCCCAAAACTGGCACAGTGTGACTTTTACTCCATTCTCTGGGTCAAGGCAGGTCACAAGTATCTATGTGGGAAATAGATACTACCACCTGCTGAGTGGAACAGCATGTACATTGAGGGAGGGAAGGAGTTGATGGTGGCCATCTTGGAGATTATCCATAACCAGAAGCATAGTTAACCAGCAGATGTAGCCTCTCCCTAATTCCTAGCAAGCACCCTGATAGAATGGAGAAACTCTAGCCTGGGCAAAAACAAAGGAGAAACAGGAGAAGAAAAATACCCTGAAACACTGCATCTTTTTCTATTTTCAAGCCCAGCAAAGAGTTAAGAAGGTGGCACCCACCTACCCACACGGCCCTCTAATCATTCCTCAGCTGAGTTTCTTCTGGTTATCATTCAAGCATCAGAGGAGGCGCTGCTGCACTCCGGGCCATGTGTAAAGAGCACGATTAGTGCCTGTGTATCCTACAGCAGGCATTTTAAGTAATTTGGTTTTACAGCTACTGCTATGTCTGTTTTCTGTGTCAGGCTTTCACACGCCTATTTCTAAGACCCATTCTCTGAGCAGCAGTTAAAAACAATACTTTCCAGTGCTGCATTGTGTATTGCTAAAATGTAATACACCTACAAGTAACCTTTTCAACCGTTAATTTCCATCTATAAGTCAAATTATCCCCAGTTGCTAAGAAAAAGCATATCTCATTAAGTTTCTCCTGCTTTCTTTTTAACAGTACAGAAGATTCTTATATGAAAGAACAAGCATCTAAGACTGGAAACTCAATTTTCTAGCCTGTTCCACCTCTAGCAACATCCCTTATATTCTAACTAACTTGGTTAGGAATCGCCTACATAATGAGGATTACGGGCATACTTCGTTTTATTGCGCTTTGCAGATATTACATTGTTTTACAGATTGAAGATTTGGGGCAACCCTGCGTCAAGCAAATCTCATGGCACCATTTTTCCCTCAGCTTTTGCTCACTTAATGTCTCTGTGTCACATATCAGTAATTCTTGCAATATTTCATCCAAACACATTCATTTTTAATGTCTTTGGTGATCTGTGATCTTTGATGTTACTGTTGTAGATGTTTTAGGGTGTCACAAGCTGCACCCATATAAGACAGTGAACTTAATAAATGCTGTGTGTGTTCTGTCTGCTCCCCCGTCCCTCTCCCCTTCTTTGGATCCCTCTATTCCCTGAGACACAACAGTGTTGAAATTAGGCTTAGTGAGGGAGGGATGTTTAAAGCTGAGACAGGCTGAAAGCTTAGACCTCTTGCACTACCCAGCTAGCCAAGTTGTAAGTGCAAAGGAAAAGCTCTTGAAGGAACTTAGAAGTGCCACTCCAGTGAACACTTGGATGATAAGAGAGAGAAACAGCCTATTGCCGATATGGAAGAAGTTTGAGTGGTCTGGATAGAAGCTCACGTCAGCCACAGTATTCCCATAAACCAAAGTCAAATTCACAGCAAGGCCTGGCTCTTTTCATTTCTGTGAAGGTTGAGAGGTGAGGAAGGGGCAGAGGAAAAGTTTGAAGCCAGCAGAGGCTTCAATTCTTGAAGCAGAGGCTTGGTTCATGAGGTTTAAGGACAGAAGCCGTCTCCATAACATAGAAGTGCAAGGTGAAGCAGCAGGTGCTGATGGAGAAGCTGCAGCAAGTGACCCAGAAGATGTAGCTGAGACAGTGAATGAAGGTGGCTGCACTAAACAGATTTTCAATGTAGATGAAACACTTCTGTTGGAAAAAGATGTCATCTAGGACTTCCATAGCTAGAGAGAAGAAATCTCTCTGAAGAAAACCTGGCTTCAGAGCTTCAAAGAACAGGCTGACTGTGTCATTAGGAACTAATACAGCTGGTGACTTTAAGTTGAAGCCGGTACTCATTGGCCATTCTAAAAGTCCTAGGGCCCTGAGTTGCATGCCAGATCTACTCTGCCTGTGCTCAGTAAGTGGAACCACAAAGCCTGAGTCACAACACATCTATTAATAACATGGTTTACTGAATATTTAAGCCCACTGCTGAGACCTCTTGCTCAGAAAAAAAGATTCCTTTCAAAATGTTACTGCTCATTGACAATGCACCTGGTCACCCAAGAGCTCTGATGGAGATGGACAACAGGATTAATGTTGTTTTCATGCCTGCTAACACAGCATTCATTCTCTAGTCCATGGATCAAAGAACAATTTTGACTTTGAAGTCTTATTATTTAAGAAATACATTTTCTAAAACTCTAGCTGCCATAGATAGTGATAATTCTGATGGATCTGGGCAAAGAAAACTGAAAACCTTCTGGAAAGGATTCCCCATTCTAGATGCCATTAAGAACATTAACGATGTACAGAAAGAGGTCAAAAGATCGACATTAGCAGGAGTTTGGAAGAAGCAGATTCTAGCAGTCCTGGATGACTTTGGGAGATGTAAGACTTCAGTGGGGGAGGTCACCGCAGATGTGGTGAAAACAGCAAGAGAACTAGAATTAGAAGTGCAGCCTGAAGCTGTGACTGAATGACTGTGATCTCGTGATAAAACTAACGGGTGAGGACTTGCTTCTTATGGATGAGCAAAGAAGGTGGTTTCTTGAGATGAAATCTTCTGGTGCAGATACTGTGAAGATTGTAGAAATGACAACAAAGGATTTGGAATATCACATCAACTTAGTTGATAAAGCAGCAGCAGGGTTCGAGAGGATTGACTCCGATTTTGAAAGAAGGTCTCCTGTGGGTAAAATGCTGTCAACCAGCATCACATGCTGCAGGGAAATCATTCATGACGGGAAGAGTCAGTTGCTATGACAGGTTTCACTGTTATATTAAGAAATTGTCACGGTTCCCTCAGCCTTCAGTAACCACCACCCTGATCATCATCAACATGGAGGCAAGGGTCTAGGCCAGCAATGGTTAGCATTTTTAGCAATAAATTATTTTATTTTATTTTAAAGTAATCTGTACACCCAACATAGGGCTCAAACTTACAACCCTGAGATCAAGAGTCGCACACTCAACCGACTGAGCTAGCCAGGCGCCCTGCAATAAGTGGTTTTAAATTAAGGAATATATGTTGTTCTTTTAGACATGATGCTATTGCACACTTAATAGACTACAATATAGTGTAAACACAACTTTTTTTTACATTTATATAAATACAGCTTTTATATGCAACTGGGAAACCAAACAAATAATTTCACTTACTTTATTGTGATATTCTCTTTATTGCAGTGCTCTGGAAGCAACCCTACAATATCTCTAGGGTGTGCCTGTATTCTCTTCCTCTGAGAAAAATGCTCTTAATCTTCTAAATTTCCTTGGGAAATGTTTTTGCATGTATGTTTTTTTCCTTAACAAAACCAGACTTTTTTTTTTTTCGTTACAGTTAGATTGTCTTTTACAGTTTAGATAACTATTCAACCCACAGTACTTTTTCCTAGAAACAATCAAATAAATAAAATTCTCTAGTGTCATATCAAAAGAGGAAATGTAAAAGCAGCTATTTATGGACTATAGAGGCAAAACATTTCCAATTTTAAGAGATTATCATTGTCTCTTATGTGTGTGAGGAAATAATGGTTTTGTACCCAGCTGCCTAGGGAGTAGGGCCCACCAAAATCACAGTTTCCCCCATTCGTGTGGCTCAGATAATGAAGATATTTTCTGTACTTTTCTTACACTACATTGTATGGGTAAACATTTACACATGGCACAAAGCTAGCATTCAGTTAGAAGAAGTCCAGATTTTTTTAACATCCTGTTTTACCGTTTCTCTGATTTTGCTAGTGATGAGTTTCCTCTTGTTTATTTGCTATTTTCTTTTGTTTTGTCTATGACTGAAAAGACACTGTGCCTCTTTAAAACCATCCAAATCATGTGGAGAACTGTGGGAGTCTTACTGAATTTAAAAAATTTTCCATATCTCTACCCCTTTCATTTTAGGAAGAAGAATTAGAAGCCCAGATTTCCTTCCTTCAAGGACAATTAAATGACCTAGATGCCATGTGCAAGTACTGTGCGAAGGTGATGGACACTCATCTTGGTGAGTGAGCTACTTTGGCCCCGGGAAGAATGACAGTCATAACAAGAGTGTGCAGTTGGCCCTGGGTTGAGCTTTCGATGTGCGTTATCTCGTTAAGCCGCACAGCAGCACTGTGGTAGTAGAGGTACTGTTACTATCAACATTGTACAAATGACGAAACCGAAGCACAGAAAGATTAATAAAATTTCCCAGGATTATAGAACTAGTAAGTGGAGTAGAAATTCACAGTCAGGCGGTTTGACTATAGATTTCAATTCTTAAGTGCTATACTGCCCTTTATAAATATCGGTCTACATCAAACCAGAATGAAATGTTGAGCTTTCAAGGTCAAATATTCAGCTCTACTGTTGTGCCAATCTGTGTGTAGTTACTGTTATTTTTTAAATACTTCATTTTTTTGTAAATGAAGAGAGAGAGAGAATGTGTAGGAGAGGGGCAGAGAGAAAGGGAGATAGATAATTTGAGGTAGGCTCTAGGCTCTGAGCTGTCAGCACAGAGCCCCATGTGGGACTCGCGGATCACAAAATCATGACCCAAGCTGAAGTCAGACGTTTAACTGACTGAGCCACACAGGCTCCCCTTAAATACATGTTTTGAACCACCAGCCTGAAATGCATGTCAGGACCACATGACCTTTTCTTATTTCTGACTGCTTATATTCTAAGAAATGTCCTAGTTTGAAGTTCAGTGTATATGTGAGTCCTACATATGTCACGTTAGAAAGTCCTCAGGCATTACTCTCTACATTTCTAAAAGTTCTGTATTTTGTTATCGAAATGGTCTCTGCTGGATCACATATGTTTTGCTTCAGTAACTCAGTGCTGCTTGCAAAACTTCAAAATGCATACTATTACTATTTTTTTCAGCCCTCTTATGGGCATCCTTTCTTTCCCTATTATCTTCTTCCTCCAGTGTCTAGCATCTGTAGTTTGGGAACAAATTAGGAGAATAAGACATATACTCTAATGGAAGTGGTTAATACGCTGCTCTGTGAGTGTGGACAAATGACAATACCACGTATTATAAGAAATCAGGATGCATCCCACTTATGAGGGGAAATCACGTAGAATCCACCAAGGCAGAGGTCCTAGGAGTGGGCCATCCCTGGGGCCTTTACAGAAGGTGGACTCTACCTTCGACGCCACTGACCTCTCAGCTTGTTCATGAATTCATTTGCATGTGGTGAAAAGAGCTGTCATTTAGGTGTAGCCTAAACCATACTGACCTCTAGCAAGTCATAAATGTTGTCTTACAGATTTGGAGAGGTGCTTGCCCTAGGCAGCTGGCTGCATGCCGGGGTCTCACTAGGCGGCTGGCTGGGCCCTGGTCCATCCTCAGTTTCTCCTCTTAACCACTTCTCCTTTAGAGAAAGCGCCCAAGAGGGAGAAACAACAAGGGAGACCCGGGCCGGTGATCAGAAGGGCAGTACCCCTGGTCACAGTAAGAAATGTTACCCTTGTCACATCTGACCCACCCCTGTCAAAACGGTTTGTTTATCTGCTTCATGATGATCATCTTTAAAAATGCATATAGAACTAAGTTTATGTGAATCTCATAGCATCCCACTATAAATGCATCCGAAAGAAGTAATGGAGAGAGAGCTTGTATGTAAATAATATATCTTATGTAACTAATTTTAGTTTATTTAAATATTCTTATTTTTAAAACAAGTGTATGTCAGGGGGCCTGTGTGTTTGTGTATGTTTGCTTCTCTGGTTATGTGAGTGACCTTTGTATTGCTTGATTTTTGGTTTTAACCGAAGTAGGAGAACAAAGAAGTAACTGAGAGAAAGATTTACTGGAACTCTAGAAAATCCTGTTAGGAAATCTCTAGGTTGTTTGGTCCACATAGCAGCTATTTTAAAGCAGCTTTACTTAAGCCTTAAGAATTCGTTCAAAGAGCTTTCGTTCTGATTTGGTCTTTCAGTCAGCTCTGTAAAAGCTGAGGGGGGAACACTTTAATTAAAGAAAAGCCTATATCAGATGTGAATTTTCAACTAACCACAAAACTCCATTCATTTCTTGTGTACGTTTCACGTTCAGCCAGAATCCCCTCATGTAGTTGTCAACTTCTTTTCTCCATATGAAGAGCAGGACCCCTCTCATAAAAAGGGATTGAAGGGTGCGCCTGAGGGGCTCAGTCAGTTAAACGTCTTACTTCAGCTCAGGTGATGATCTCACGATTTGTGAGTTCGAGCCCCACGTCAGGTTCTGTGCTGACAGCTCAGAGCCTTGGAGCCTGCTTCAGATTGTGTGTGTGTGAGTGTGAGAGTGTGTGTGTGTGTGTGTGTGTGTGTCTGTCTGTCTGTCTGTCTCTGCCCCTCCCCCGCCTGATCTTTCCCTTTCTCTTTCTCTCTCTCTCAAAAATAAATAAACATTAAAACAATGTTTTAGATGAGCTTGAAGGATGCTACGAAGAATTCCTGGACCCAGGGCCCACAGATGCATTTCAATCCACCTGCCCGTTATAAACAGTGATTTATTAAAGGATATTCCTGTGTTGTAGGCAGTTTTGATTCTAAGCAAAAATTGGAGGAAAACACAAAGATTAATTAAGGTGAAGCTCTTGATTGTTACTGATTATAACTTAGTATAATGCCATCTTAAATATTAAAATACTTTTTTACTAACGCTAGGAGATGTTCCAGCCAAATTATTAAAGTAAAAAGGCAGGTAGCACAACAGTATATATTTGATGCAAAAATAACTACTACCAGTGATGGCCTGGCTGAAAGGAAGGTTATAGGATGACTTTTCTGGGGGATCTAATTTTTATGCTTAGAAAATGCAAAACAGTCACTGAAAATCTGTCGATCCTGAAGTGCGAGCACCTGGGGCTTCATCTTCAGACGCCAGGCAAGAGCCCGTTCTGAGTGGCAGGAGTGGTGTTTGAGAAGGAGAGTGACTTGTGTGGCACCAGACAGACACAGGGTTGAGATCAGACTCCATCACTTAGCGCAGCCTGCTTCTGGTCGTGTCTTCGTATAGAAGATGGAGACGCAAGTGTCTACCTTGCCAGTTTGTTGCCAAGACTAATCTGTTTTTAACCCCAGCACAGGGCATGGCCCAAAGTCAGGTCTTCAACACAAATTCTCTCCTCTGGCTTCTTAACTCTTATGTGTCCCTTCTCAGGGAAGATCCTGAGACACTCATCGAGTCTGTGACCAGAGTGCTGAGTACTGACACGTGGTGCAGGCCCCTACAACTAGTCCGCGGGCGAACCAGGACCAATACCAAATTTCCCAACACCTAACTAAATATCCCCTTATCAGTGATGCAGAAAGATGCTGGAATTGGGGATATGCTGGTCCTAGGGTTAGGTGTGTGAGCTCTTTGAGCAAGAAGAACTTGATCGGAACAGAATGATGCCCAGTCCTTGACCTGAGCTGGCCGGGCCTCCGTTTTGCGCTGGGCCACAGGCTACCAAGGCAGCTGTGAGAAATGCATCAGAAACGTATTCTAGGAGGTATTTTCTGTATCCTCTCCTAACATTAATTGTTTTCACCACGTTCCTGCATTTCAGGAGAATTCCATATCACCCTGCATTTTCATCATTTCAGTTATATTTTAAAATGTCATGTATAGTTCAAGGCTATTTTTATAACTTACAGAACAAATATAGAGAAAAACATCTCAGTTAAAAATCACATAAAGGCACTTGTTCAAATGGTTCTTTAATTATAGAGGCAATAACATTGACAGGCTAGCAGTTACTTCCTTATAGGCCTGGAACCTAAAACTAAAGAAATATTTGTTTTATCAAAACTCTACCAAAATCCTAATTTTATTACTTCCACACAGTTGAACCACATGAATTCAAACATTGAGAGACAGGAATTGAAAATGCATGTGTTTATTAAATCTAAACTTTCCTGTCAACTTCAGGAGACTTGTTTTACGTGTTCATTTTTCTGTTGCTATAGTTACTCCCCTTCCTGTCATACTGACAGTTGAGTTAAACGCCATTGACAGTATTAACCTCCATGGTTGAGCTCAGGCTATTTTTAGGTTTGCCGTATTTTACTCATAATTGCACGTGGGCGAGCGGCCCACACTTCTCTGTTCCGTGAGCAGCCAGGCTGAGCTGCCAGCTGTTTATGAGGAGTGTGAGCTGTTCACCCTGCTGGCCCGAGAGCCCTCACCTGCCCGCTCCCAGAGGAGGCACTTCTAGCCTCTGTTGGGTACTTAGACAGTGGTTTCCAGCAGCCTGCCCTTTCTTGGGTGGTTCATGCCAACAATGGCAAGGTTCAGTGCAGTGAATTCCGGCAAGGTAGGTTTCCCAGAGTGCTGTAGCTCATAGGAGCTCAGAATGGTGAACGGGTGGACGCTTTACAAGCCATCTCAGCAGTTCTTCATTTCACAGATGAGGAAACCAAGGTCCAGGAAGGATGAGACACACAGCTGGCTGTGGCACACGTACCTTGAGTCTAGACCTGATTCCAGTCCCTGGCTTCTCTTTTACTGGCACTCTGACAGAAGCCAACGCTGGAATTGGTCGTTGGATTTCAGATCTTCTGCTGTTGTACTGCACACATCATTACCGAGTTTGCACTTGTCATAATATTTATGTAAGAATTAGCTGTAAGAAGAGGCCAGTTTTGAAAATCAGTTTATTTGCTTCTGCAGGAACTTTATAAATCTAATTTTCTCGTGTTTATGAAAACAACTTTCAATGGATGTCGTTGGAAATGTTCAATAAGGCAATTAACTAATGAGATTTGAAAAAACAGGGAAGGGAAAATATGATCACCAGACAGCTTCCTCTCTGTCAATCACACTGTGATAAAAGTTTTCATAACTATTTTGAGAATTTTAAATGCTGCATTTAATTACGGGCAGGATAGTCCTCTGTCGAAGGAGAAGATGCCTTCCCTTGAGAATCTCATTAAAAAGACAGATTCTGATTCAGGAGGCCTGATACGGGATCTGAGGTTCAACATTTTTAACAGTCCCCAGATGACCCGATGTTATTGGCCCGTGACCATCTTCGACCAGCAAAG